CAATCACTGGCGATGAGTATGAGAATTGGATTCTGGCGAGTTACCAGCATGAATTTTCTTTGGATGGAAGTATCAAGAGTATCATGGGATATTGCACCGACATCACGCTCCAAAAAAGGTTCGCGAAGGAAATGGAAGATCGTGCAGAGCTTTCTGAACAACTTTTACTTCGCACAAACCAGGCCAACGAAATTGAACGTAACTTTAGAAGATTTAGTGACCTTGCTCCTGGTGGCCTAGCTATCCTCGATCCAGAAGGTAGACTGACCTACGCCAATGAGCAATGGTTTCAGATTTCTGGTCTCGCAAAGAGTGAAACCTTAGCAGAAATTCCCTTCTCATGGATGAATGCAGTATATGAGTTGGACCGACCGAAGTTTAGATCGCAATGGTTAGCGCTGGTAGAGAAAGCAACTCCATTTGTGATAGAAACACGCATGGAACAACCGTGGGTAGGAGACATAGCCGGGAGTACATTGACTATACAACGCTGGGTATTGGGTACATTCTCTGGAGAGAATGACGAAAACGGGAAGTTGAAGAGTGTGATGGGCTGTAAGTTTGAAATAGGACCTTGTTCTTCCCTAGCGAAAACTAAATCCATAACTTTACAACTGGTTTTTACTGACACAACATAGGCTCAACAGATATCTCCCGGATTAAATGGGCAGAAGAAATTCAAGACAGACGGCTAAAGGATTACGAAGAAACAAGACGCCAGCAAAATTCATTTATTGACATAACAAGTCATGAAATGCGTAATCCACTCAGCGCTATTGTTCAATGTGCAGATGGTATCTCATCATCCCTGAAACAGTACAGAACAGCAAACAAGGATCTGGAGGAACGCGATTACCAACTCGCGACTATTTTGAAAGATGGCATAGATGCCGCCGAAACAATTCAACTTTGTGCTCAACACCAAAAATCAATTGTTGATGATGTTTTGATGATTTCCAAATTAGATTCAAATTTGCTCACAATTACACCTGTCTCTACTAAACCTGTAGAGGTGGTAAAGCTAGGACTGAGGATGTTTGCCGGAGAATGTCAAATGAATACCATCTCTCTCAATTTAGACATCAAAAAGTCTTTTCAAGAGTTGAGAGTCGACAGTGTCATGCTCGACTCAAGTAGATTGACTCAAGTATTGATTAATCTCATGACAAATGCTATCAAATTTACCAAGGACGAGAAGATCCGAGAAATCCATGTTTCCATAAGTGCCTCCCTGGAACCACCTTTATTAGAGTCATTGGCCAATTTCGAATACTTCCCATCTCCTACCAGGTTTTCGAAAGCCAATATTACCGATAGCGAGGAATGGGGTAGAGGTCAAATCATATATCTTCGATTCGAAATAAAAGATACTGGTTGTGGATTAACACCTGCCGAGAAGAAGAACTTGTTTACACGTTTTTCGCAAGCATCGCCTCGAACTCATGTGCATTATGGAGGATCTGGCCTTGGACTATTTATCTCGCGACAACTTACTGAATTGCAAGGTGGAGAAATCGGCGTGGCATCAGAGTTTGGGGTTGGGAGTACTTTCGCTTTCTACATCAAATGTCGTCGTGCATTAGTAAGGGCAAAAACTCTGGATGTTGAATCGCAGATGACTTCGGATCTGGAGGCTAATGGGAGACTTGCAACAAATGTTCCGAAAAGTATCAAGGACCATGAAGAAAACATGTTGAACAAGCTCCTGGATTTGAAGGAGAAGGGAAGATTACCTACTAATCGCAACTCATTCGGATTCGAGGAGGAAGAAAGCCAAAGGGTGAAAACGAATAAGACTCCGGATTTTCTCAGGCCTAATTCGTGGAGTGTTTTGATTGTGGAGGATAATTTAGTTAATCAAAAGGTGTTGGCGGCACAAATGAAGCGGTTGGGATGTACAGTTTACGTGGCAAATCATGGAAAGGAAGCCATTGAATTTATAAGTCGGACGAATTGGATGAGTGAAAAGGTGGATCATTCGAATGTTGTTGTGCCAAAGAAGGTAAGATGATCCCTTTCTACGTTCATTTTCTTGTATTCCCCCCATATAATTCATGCTGACATCTAGCCCACAGAACGCCGGCATTCCAAACCAAACCCAAAATCCTTCACAATTGCATCAGCAATCGCGATCAGAAAATTCACTCATTCCTCTCACCCTCATTCTTCTCGACATTGAAATGCCCGTAATGGACGGTCTCACTTGCGCCAGGGAGATACGCAAGATGGAAAAGAATGGGGCACTGAAAGGACATGTACCAGTGGTGGCTGTGACTGCCAATGCGAGAGCAGAACAGATTCAGCAAGCGCTGGAAGCTGGTATGAATGAAGTTATGACGAAACCTTTTAGGATTACGGAATTAGTGCCAGTCATTGAGGGAGTGCTTGTTAGGTTTGGGGGTGAGAAAGGGGGTCCGAGAGAGGAGAAAGGGAAGGGACAAGATAAGCGCTAGGAGGGATTGAAACGAAACAAAAAAAAGACACCCCGAAAAGAGGCACTCATTCTATAAGATAGAAAGGAGATGCAATTACGACAATGAACAAAAGAACATACAAACGGGTGAAGAAACCGAGAAATCAGAGGATGAGAAACCGAGCAGTGTAACGCAAGGAAACGAAACGCAACGCACAATACATGGATGATACGATACCTTATGAGCATATGGGAGAGGGGGTTCTTTTTTATTCTACTTTGCATTGCGTGGTGCACAGCGATCGATGGATTTGGCTTATAATTAAATACCCTTTTGCATATCGAGTTGAATGGTGGATGGGAAGGATAGGGAGGATAGGAAAGGATAGGGAAGGATAGGGAAGGATAGGGAAGGATAGGATAGGATAAGATAGGATAGGAATTGTATGAGCATATGAATGATTAGATGAGAAGTGAGATAGGATCACCAGGTGGATAGGATTTGAAAACCAGAATCGGAAAAGATGATGAGGGTGAGAAAGAGAAAATTGTAGAAGAGGTTATTTGAGTTACTTGTTTGTTACTTATTTAGCCTTTCTGAATCTTACATGCATACATACCTGATTAAGAGTTCAAACATTATAAAATGGGGTTCTAAAAGTTGAATGTGATGATCTTTTAGTAGGACTTTATGTAAGTTGAACTGACATAACTGTATTTCTCTCTTTTCGGGTGTAGGAATTGCGTGTAATATTGATGGATTCTTGAAATGGGAAAAGGGTGATTGGTTAGTTACCGGGATACAGATGGGATCTAGACATCATAATTGTCCTCGCCCAATCTTTCTACTCATATGTAGCACTCATATAACAACTTTAACCCAGACACAAAACCAAATGGAAAATAGAAATAGAAATATTCGAGAAATCCTCATAGGGAGGTAAGTAACAAAATCGTAGTGCGTCCCATCTTCCCCAGTTTCAATTCTCGGGACTTCAAAGGGGGAGGAGTCATGAAGATGTTTTCTTCCCCGCTCGAGCTTTCGAACTCTGAGCGGGCTGGGGGGATCGGATCGGATTGGATTGGAAAGGGGAGGTTGGAAAGGAGGAAAGTAGGAAAGTGGGATAGGAAGTATATAGATCTATCCACCTGTACCTGTCCAAGCAACCCTCCTCCTGCAAAAATAAAGATTCCGATTCCTCCTTCTCGCGTATCCGCCTCTCTGGCTTCCATTACATTACACATTCGTGGATATGGATTTAAATTTCAGATTTACACATCTTTGTTTTTTGGGGGGCGAGGGGGGGCAACTACCTACTCATTACTAATAATTTATTTGATATGATTTCTCATAGAATATTGATATATATATATATATGAATAAAACAACAATGTCATCTTCATTCACAAACTCACAGATAGGATATGAAATCTTTCCTTCGTTGCTTATATATCCTCATCCTATGGCGTCTAAACAATATACTATATATATATATCTAACTCTACAAATTTCAAATCGTAATAAAATAAAATAGAATAAATCGATATGATATACTCGAGTAGTGGCTCGAGAGTAGTTAGTTAGGTAAGAAAAACCACTTAAACTTCATTTCAAGATACGACACGACACGAAATGATCCATCTACCCAGGTACTCATCGTCTAACTTCCCAACAACAGAAAGGAGGAATACTTCCCCTCGGAACAAAGATAGCTAGTAGCTAGTAGCTATCTACACAAAACCCGAAATGGAAAAAGCAAGGTGCATTAGATCATCCTATGGGAGATGAATTCAGCTTTCTACTTCAACTTCGACTTCGACTGTAACTCAACAAATCATTAGGGATGAGTGGTACCTCTCAACTCTCGAGGGATTGGAACTCACGCTACGGTATTGTGGAAGACAGCTCCTCGTGACGTCTGCTCCTCTTACTCATTTGATGTTCACTTTCCCGCCAATCTTCATTCTTTTTTACCATCTCTAAAAAACTCGCCATATGCATTCCATCCCGTCCAATCCCACAATAATCGCAGTCGAAAAACTCGCCATTCGCGAGGAGGGGTTTCTCCGAAAAAGAATTAACGAAAATTAATCGAGAGCCTTACTCATACAATCCGACAAAAATGATGCATTCACCTTCCCTCATTCCTTCAAACCTCAATCTAATCTCAAAGAAAAGACCATAGATACAATACGAATATTTTCTCTATGTAGGCAGGTATTCCAAACCCATTATCCATACTAATAATAAGCTCCATCTTTTTCCAAACCCTACCATACCATATCATCCCATACCACCCCATTCCAAACACACATCTATATATAATCGAATTCATCAATGGTACATACAAATCTCATCTTATTAAAGTCAAAAATAATCCCCTGTGACAAGAACACAACGCAAGTAATCCTACAAAACTCCTACGCTGAATTTCATGCCAGGCTCCTGTTTCCGCCCCGACCATGATCATTGATCATCATAACCCTATCCACCCTATCATAATAAGCCCGACAGAATCCCTTCGCAATTCTATCCTAGTATCATCGCATTATATCATATCGTATTATATCAAAACACCCTTAGTAATTATGAGAACCAGTCGTCGTCCCCAAACCCTCTATTAATGCCCTCACCACCGCCTGCACCTGTGTTACCACCTCCATTCCCAGGATTGGAATTGCCATTATCATAGAATGGGTTGCCTATCCCGGTACCTAGATCACCACTCAAGCTATGACTGTGCCGCCCAGTACCAATACCAACACCTCCACCCATCCAATTCTCAAACCCAACTACTAAGCTCGCTTGATCCCGCAACCACCAATCCTGGCTTTGAACTAACTGTTCCACTCCACCAAACAGTGTACTAGGACTGACATATCTATTTGCACTTCTATTCCCACTAGTCAATGGGCTACTATTAGCCGTAGAAGTAGCATTCGTGATACTAGGAGCAAAAGATTGAGCCGGGTTGGTATAAATTGTACGGGAGAGAGGATATGCAGAGACAGGTGCCATGTGAAGGGGATTTGTCGTAGAATATGAGATGGAATCTGTGTGATCGGATGGTGGCGAGACAACATTTTGGAGTCTAGGCAGCGAAGACTGCGTTGTTGAATCACTTATCAAACTATTCGTAATTGAAATCTCTGAATCGAGAGGATAGCTATACAAGCTCTGTTGTAACTGAGTTTGACTTCTTGTAAGGAGCGGTTGGGAATTTACAGGAGTCTGGAAGTGAGTAGGTGATGATGATGATGATGGTGTAGTCACTATTACCTCTGATTTCGGCGTTGGAACATCGGCTGTCGAGAAATACCCAAACCTGCTATCAGTTCGAGAGAATACAGCAGACGCTTCTGTAGGAAGATGGATATTCCATTTTCGAGCAAGCACAGAGAGGATTGAAAGAGTACGGCGTGCACAAAGCCAATCATCGGCAATTTCCTCGAGATGTTTGACACCGTGAATTATATCTCTCTTCGCTGTCTTTTCCGGAAGATTCAGGAGGTGAATTGTACAAGCAGAGTGAACAATATAAACTGCTATATTGCAAATTTGCCGAAGTCCATATATACGCTTGTAGAGACGCATTAATTTGGATATCGAACCAGCAGCTTGTGTGCAAAGTTTCCGAGGAGATACATGTGTCGGTAAAGGCGATGTGCTTGGATTGTATTTGAGGAAGGGCCGAAACAGGTGGATGTATAAAAGATGGAAAAACATGCTATGTAATATCAGTAATGAGTTGAAGTTTAGATATAGTAGTGCATACTGCATGAGAAGGACATTAGGTAATTGTCCTTCCTTTGGTTCAAACTCTTTGGGTAAATCTCTTTTCCAAGCCTCGAGTCTTGTTTGTAATTCGCTAAGCTTTTTCAACTCCTGTGATCTTCCAACACCCCTTTCAACATTTTGTGGATGATAAAAAAATGTTAGAAGATCACTACTAATCTCACACAGGCTCGAAATCTGTAAAGCTACAGCTCTTGTCCTTGATGGTTGGGAATTCAATTGACCGATTCCATTATCTGTGTAAGGTGACCAAATTTCATCATCGAATTTTTTAACGTCATATTTTGGGACGGTAATGTCAGTTACTGACAACAGAGGTAGTCTTCCCAAATAATTCGAAAAGCATTTGTCAAAGAGAAAGCTATCGAGGAATATCAGTAATTGCCCATCAAAGAACGGATTTCAAGAAAATGAGGAATTAATATTGCATTAGAAGTAAAAGCTAGAAGTTGAAGGACCGAAAAAAACAGAACTTGGGGTCGGGCAACAAATTGAACAATGATGAACAAGAATATATCGAATCAATTCAACATACCAGCCCCAAAATGTCACTCTTCTAACATCGATTTCGTCTTCATCAACGGTAAATTCCTTTGGACTGTTTTTATTGATTCCGGAATCCAGATTGAGACCCATATCTTGAGCCATTCGGAATGCCATTCCAGAGTAGACCCAGCCCTTTCCTTCTCGGCCTGCACCTGCTTCACGAACTGACATCAAACTGCCATCATGTTAGATATACATATTCGAACATGAGGATAAGTACTCACCACAGAGCTTGTATCGTAGTCAATCTTGGTTTTTCAAACTCTTCATTTTCAATAAATAGTCTTTTCGCTTCCGCAAAATAATGATCGCCTTTAGTTGCGGTATCACCTGGATCTGCACAAGCTTGGGGAGAATTTGTAAAATGACACCCCAAAGCCAGCATAGCATTAACCTAAGAGTCGTTAGAAACTAATAACATTGAGGGTTGAGTTTTCACTAACCAATAACGATGAACAGTACATTGTTCTTTTTGGCGTCACTGGAGGTTTTCCCTGAATTCCGTTAACCCTGGTTGTTTTCAATTGCGGAATACAATGAGCCAGTGTCTGGCAAGCAAACATACCAAAAGGAAGTCTTTATAAAAACTAGTAATATCAATCAGTCAATAATTCTTGAAGCAAAACGACATGATGGGAAAGTGAAATGGGCCGGCTTCGAATCGGGGAGTATGAAGAAAGAAAAACCCACAGCGTTTTACTTAATGTCGTAAAATATGGATAATGCCATGTAAAATACATATTGATCAAATGAACGATAACCTCTGTATCACTTGTGACTGTCGTCCATGACAGGAGAGGTTCATCTTGTTGCGTCGTTTCCAAAGCATCCCCATGCTCAACACTTGCTGCATCGAGATAAATCAAATTCGAGGTGCCTCCCAAGAACCTTACCGAACCGTTCTCTAATCTCAATTCACCCATCTTTCCCGATAATTGAGTCTCGAAAGTCGGTAAACCAGATGACGTACATGCCATGTTGTCGTCCATATCATCATCATCGTCTTCGAATGCTTGGTCTTGTTTCAAGATACTTTCTGCTACATCATCGAGACTTTCACACGTCCGAATTTGGCGGACCAGATTTGGCACATCTTCCTCTGCGGCATTCAATATCGCTTGTATCAATGTTTGTAGAGTGGAATGGCGAGTCTTCAGACTATCGATCTTTTCTTTATATACGCCTTTTCTTCTATGGTCTGATAAGGGATCGTATACACATTCTGTCAATTCACAATGTCAGTTCAAGTGCTCAGCTAGTTTTGCAGACCAATTGCCACAGATCAATTGAAGACATGAGATGAACATACCAGTCCCATATACACTCGAGCAAGCTGCGCAACTTGGTGTGTTTCCATCGCATTTGGATTTGCGCTTCCTACATGCGACACAAGCTGTTGAAACACATCTTCTCTTCATCGCAGCGGCATCTCTGCTACTCCTCGATCTTTTATTCGACGTCGAGCTCTCCCGGTCGGTCGTCACATTACTCTCCGGTTTGATCATGACATTATTCAACGAGGACGACGATCCTCCATCAATATGACCCGCATCCCGTACGTCAGCCATCTAGCGCGAGAGAGGGGCACGATCCTCAGCTTATCCCCTCGTCGTTATCCGTTTCAAATCCGTTGATGGGTATTGATGCGGTGTACGGTGGTGCGCTGCGGGTCCCCAGTAGCCGGTAGACAAGGCTTATCCGATCCGATAAGTATTTACGGAGTGCACACGCGCGGACCTATCCTTTCTAGTTGCCAATTCTGAGGGAATGCTACCCCAGACCATTAACCGTTTCGAAGCCGTAAGCAGAGCTGTTTCCTATCTCTGTCCTTCCTATGTTAAAGCGATAGGCACAAATATACTCGAGTCCTTATCACAACTAATCGCTGCATGGATTTTTTGGCCGTGTTCAAGAATGTATAAGTAGAAGAAGAATCCTCCTCCCTAGCTCGAGTTGATTCCCTGGAGATTGAAGTGATGATTCTTCCTAGAGATGGAGATGATTTTCATGTGGGCAAACAGCTATGTTCTCTTATGAAGCGCAATGCCCAAGTAAAGCAAAGAAATGGAATGCTGCTGCCATCAAACTTCTAGATTGATAAGAGTGGTTGGCTTGTGACTGGGGAAGGGGGGATGTAAAGAGTGGAGATATCAATTGGATTCGAGGAAATTTCTAATGCATAGATCCGATTGGCCAAGAGACATATACAATAATAAGGTTAACAGACAAAATGTCTAAAGGCATATGAATCTCTTTCTGTTGCTCAATCTAACCCAACATATATCCAACATTTCTATTATATAAATCTTTCCATTCAATGTGATGTTACTTCCTTAATATAATTCTTATTAATATCGGTGATAATGAAGTGTGTGTCTCCGAATTGATGAGATCGATGCTATTTAATGTACATAGTGTCCGCTTGCCGCTGAGGTTTTTTTTTTCTATTACGGGGCCATCATTCTCTCAAACTCGTCAAGATCCTTTCTTTTCTTGATGCCCTATAGGGCCGCACTACCTGTCTATCATATTACTACTGTCGCTACTGCTTGTCAGCACTGGTGGAGTCTCATTCTCACCTGTGCTGACGGCTCTTGGTCCCTTGGTCCCTCGTGCCCTAACCTTGCACTCACACAACGTCCTTGCACGCTTCCACACTTTCAGTGAGCATTTTGGCCCTGCATTTACGAGTCTTATTTTCTTCAAAGATCGGCGACTGCAGGTAGATGCAGCATGAACAATAGCCCGCCAAACCCTCAAAGCTTCATTAATGGCCATGTAAGCTTCGAGGCCTTCCCAACCAAGAGATGCCCAGGTGCTCAAGCAAAGCTTACGATATCGTCATATTATCCCATACGCTCGAGGTTTCCATTAGCTGAGTCCCATGTATTTCAGTTGAGGCGTGATTGGCTATTGCTCTTGGCATCTATGTTGATAAAGAACCGCTGTGCCGCATCCTCACCGTATAGGATGTCATAATCCCTCTCACTGCCATGTCTTACACGCAATCAACACAGGTATGGATATGTTATTTTCGGTTAGCCCCGACGGTTGACCGTTAAGCTTAAGCCAAACCCGTCATGACGAATTCGGGATCATGATACTTCGCGACTACATAGAATTAGATGGACTTTATGGCGATAAGTATGTACATCCGGGGAGGCACTCTCGCCTAGTAGTGGACGGAATTGAGGTCTATGTCATCATCGTCGACTCACCTTGGAATCCTGTTCTCTTTTGCAACTAGTATGCACCTGTCGACATTCGAGATTCAAAGGAAGAGTTAGTTCTGAGTGAGATTCTTGGCAACCAGACATTACCTTGTCGAAGCAAATCTTGGACGTTGAAAGATGGGGTTCCTCACTCAAAGCGATGCGTTGGTAGTGTAGTACCGCATTGTCATATTGCTTGTTCTCCGAAACTAGGAGTTAAGGACGTCGAATGGTTCATTGCTTGATGGTAATTGTAGACATTGGTGTCGACGTCGTTGTGACTGGACATGGAGTTCTCAAGGTTCCGTGACTTGGAAGTAATCCGGAAGCCGGCGGAAGTAAATTTCATGTCTACTTAAACTCCTTGTCTACTGCTGACACGGAAAGAATCCGCAGTGCGTTTTATGTCAACGCATTCTTGGGCGCCGAAGAAATTGCGCAATCTTCACTACTTTTTGAGTGCCGCTCAGTCAATGATGTCTCAGATTGAAGGTATTGGTGACATGGTCTACTCATTCTCGTTTAAGGTTTGCAGAAGGAACTCTCAGCCGAATTACATCATTGCCATAAGGATTCGCATTCAATCTAGCAAGACATTTCTTACAGCAATGATGATCGAAGTATACGCTTGTCAGGCCTCATAACTCTATTTGGCCATTCAAGAATACAGACGCAATTTCGTTCTCCGTTTCAACAACCATCGTATTACTATATATATATATATACTCATCAATTTGATCCGCAAAAGGGTATTTTTTACACTGCCGTTTGACCTCAAAAATCGCTCAGTAACTCCATATGGCTATGCTTGTCATCGATTACGCTCGAATCCGACCCACCAATAATAATCCCATAACCCCATCCTACTAGTCGTACACTTCCGCATTTGTCTTATCCCGCTGCAAATGTACTTCTCGTGCGAAGTCTCTCGCCATATATCCACAGCAAAATGGGAGCCGGCCACCCCAAACCAATCGCGATAAATCCGATCAAACTATTACCCCACCCATAGTCTAACGCTGCATAAAGGTACGGGGCGAACAATGGGAAACCGAAACCAGCCAAACTTCTCAAAACAGTTGCTGCTCCGATAGCACTTGCAGCATACTTGGTATAGGAGTCGACTATATACGTTTGAATGCACTGGAATCCGATAATGGTTCCTGCTGCAAAAATTGCCGCTCCAATATTCGGCACGATCCAATGAGTTTTAGCTTGAGCCGACCATCCATACCAAAAGAGCCCCACTGGCACAAGCAAAGCACCGGGAATCATTAGAGGGACTCGAAATTCGGGCTTTCCCACTCCGTTGTTACGTGCTTTCAATGCTCGGTAAATTCTATCTTGTGCCGGTGCACATATTTGCGTACCCAAGAAGAAACCGACTCCCAAAGAAATGTAGTTGAGCCCACCCATCCCAATGCTTTCGTTGTATACTCCTTCCCATAATCCAGGAAACGTGGAGAGTACAAGATACATGATACCATAGAGGTAAGCCATGTATACTGCTAACACCTGAATGATGACTTGCGTTCCTACATGATCGGCAAGTCAGTAAAGGCAAGATTTATAGGATCGCGCGCAAAAGAGTTACTCAATGCCAGATGTATAAGTATGTGATCATTGCCCTGTATGAGATTATGGCCGTCTAAGCAGATACTTTATGCTCCAGCATAGCTCTTCATAGACTACTGAACTCTGAGGGGTTTCTCACATGCTTGTATGACGCTTGTGCTGACATAAGAAATGGTGAAATTTGATGAAATATCTAAGCATACCAAGTAGTTTGAACGGTCGCGTCAGACTAACAGAAAGAGCCTTGAAAATAGTTCTGTCTGGAACGTCCCATTCTGTGTGAAGGTCTTGATTTCCAGTCTCCTTGATGAGCTTATTCTTCTTACGTCCGAGTAAAACAGGTGGAAATGTTTCTTGAAGGTAGAATAAACCTATTATTTGAATGACCGCATCTGCAATGGTAGTAGCATAGAAGACCCATCTCCAGGTGGTATTCTCGGCTATGAACCCGCCTGCTATTGGTCCAACTGCCGGTCCCAGGAGTGGAGCGAGAGAATATATAGAGATTGCTTTGCCACGCTCTTCGGCTGTGAATAAATCACTGAGTACTCCACCTCCCAGAGCTAAAGGGGCAGAGCCACCTAGGCCGGCAAGAAATCGGAAAGCAATCAATTGCCCCTTGGTTTGCGCCAAACCACAGCCGAGATTGAAAAACAAGTATACAAGGTTGCTAACTTGCACTATAATAACTCGTCCAAACATTTCACTCAGCGGTCCGAGAAACAATGGGCCTTTTTCATATCAGTGTTTGCCTATTGTCGCAACGATAGAATCGACTCACCAACCGCATAAGCCAGGACGAAAATAGATAGCACCAGACTTTGCTCTATGGAATTTTCAATATGTAGATCCGAGCTTATTGAAGTCAGAGCGGGTGCTACCATGGAAGAGGAAACTGGGGATATGAAGGTGAAACTTGAAACTACCAAGACTGCAGCCCATTTACGCCCAATCTTCCAATTCTTAGGATTCTCTGGATCATGTGGTCCTTCCCAAGTAACTAGATTTGGATCCCTCACACTTTTCGTGCTCTTTTGCGTCTTTTCTCTCCCCAATTCAACATCTCTCTCCACCTCAATCCCATCTACAACTTCTGGTGATATACTTGAAGTGTCATCGGTATCTGTATCCTCCGGATCAGTGGTAGAATCGCGTTCCATATCTTGATTAGTTTTTCCTTTAGATGCACTAGGACGACCTGTATAATAAGAAGTGTCATCAAGGTGATTTCCAGATAGACATCGATTTAGCCCAGGAGAAGAATCAGGTTTTGATGCACCTGACTTGCGGGTCTCTTGCCTCGATATCGAGTCTGCCATATTTGAGGTAAGAAACCCTCCTATGCTTTCCCTTATTATTGGCGCTTATCTGTTGTTGTAATCGCTTGGTTTATGTATGTTGACAAAAAGAATTCCGTGAGAAGAAAAAGAAAACGTCAATCCGAAACAAGAGGATTATATTAACAATAGATATTGAAAGGAAAAGATCGTCAAGCATGACATGAAGCTTTTGAGTGAATGAAAAGTATAGTATAATTGCAGAAATCGGAAGGACAGCGAAGTAACTTTAAAACATGAAGGACTCACTCTTTATATATATGAAAGATATATTTACCTACCTCTCTGAGAGCGTCTCCACTTGCGTCATGCTAATTGGAGATTGGAGGTATGTAATGGACGATGGCGATTGACCGTTCTTCATCTGGCGGGGCCGGCTAGATTCATGCGGGTTTTGGGAGAAAAATTCCCAAAAATTCCAATTAGGCCCTGTCTGGACTGCTTTAGAAGACGGGTATCGGCACCGTCTATACGAAAAGGGAAGCGGTGAGTGCGGACTCTTCATCATGTGATCTGTACACGGCGACAACGTTCTTATGTCCGTTGCGGAATAGTGAAAATTTGAAAGCGACTGCGTGGCGTTCAAAGTCATGCACTGTGATTACAGAGTAGGAGGTGAAGATGGTGGGTGGGTGGTGTGGGTCGCAGGATTGTAACGACTAGCAACTGAGAAAGCCATTCATAGATCAGGGTATTGACAATAAATATACTTCGTAGATAGCACAATTTATATTATTGTACGTCGCCTGGAGAGAGTCATCGCTTATCCTGTCCCATTATTGTCTTTATTACTTTATCTCAGGTTGTGTAAATGCAGTAATCCAAGATAGGCAGTCAACGGAGTAAGCAATACTGAGCAGGAAAAGACAATGGCCTATCGGTGGAAGGTCAAGGCACATCTCTATGCCGGCCGAAGCTCTCGAATCTTGCTGCAATGTACGAAGTAGCTTGATAATGATTCGTGCCATTTACCCCCATTCTCACTACTCCGTACGCCTTCGTGGTCAAACGCCTAGGGACATACGATGATAGTAGCCAAGAATTCTCGAACTTCTATTGACAGTGCGTGTGTATAGTTCATGAGGCATGTAATGAAATCCAAGGAAGAGTTGAACGTTCTTGATGTCTCGAAACACACCTCAATTCGTCGTTAGTTCTACTAATTCGACTGCTAGACAATCTCAGACATCGTGACACCCGTCAGTATGCCAGTCCGGGTTCGAAAGAGATACTCCCCAAGCTTATTAGATGATGCACGATATCGTCGTCGATCGCGTGTATGTCTCGAGCATGTCTCGAGCATGTCTACCACTTTGATATTGAGACTCGTATCGATAGCGTATATTTGACGGCCTGTCCCTTGCTAGTTTTGCAAATCATCCATACTTGGCATTGCTGGAGCTCTTTGACGGATCAGATAAATATATCCGGAATATATGTGCGATTGGTGTACGCATCATCGACGAAACTTTGCCAATGCATATTTGCTCTTGCTCTTTGATGCGCAAGTGAAATTTGATGAGTATCAGCACCTTTGTCGAACACACAGCTGAAGGTTTTCATCTTTTGATATAAACACACGTGATGTACCCAATCAATTGGTGGACTTGCTTGCTGACTGAATGTATTTTCGTAGCGGACAATCAGCAACAAACCGCTTTTTGATTACATAATTCAATCCACCAGGAGCTTTGTGTCCTACTGTAATTATAATCTTTAAGCCTGACCATAATAAATTCAACGCTCTCCAATCATGGCAGAAGAAGCTCCCACCCCAACATCTCTCATTCGAGATTTTAAATTCGATCGTTTGCTAAACCAAGGTATCTTTTAATATCACAATCTACCTCCGTCAAATCCACCACATCTAACTAGTCTTCCCACAAAGATCAAGCAGGACGACGTTCTGTTCTCTGCGGTCAGATCAATTCCAAGCCATGTCTCTTGATTCTCGAGCGCGCTCCGTTTCCTACCTCCTCAGATTATCTATCTTCCCTCCCAGCCACTGTCCAATCCCTTGAGAATCTCGGCGCAAATGATGTTTACTTTTGGTACTTGGCCAATGTTGGTCCTTCGCAAACGACTGAACCTACCGATCTGAAGATAAATCTTATCTACCCATGTACAGAACAGCACATTAAGAAATATAGCAAGCAAGGACTTCGTATGATCACCGAAACGCCCCAAATTTACAGCGAGAAGATACGCCCATATATGCAAGCGAAAAGAGATGGAGGGAGATTAAACTGGGTATACAATATAATAGATGGAAAGACTGAGGTAGAAGATGTCATTTATAGAACCCCGCAAGGTCGAGATGGAGACGAAGGCTTTTTATTATTGCCAGATCTGAATTGGGATCGAAAGACGATGGAAGGACTTCATTTGTTAGGACTAGTGGAGAGGAGAGATATATGGAGTTTGAGGGACTTGAGGAAGAAACATGTACAATGGCTGAGACATATGAGACAAAAGTTTGTGGAGGCTACGGTAAACTCATACAAAGGATTGGAAGAGGATCAGTTGAAATTGTATGTTCATTATCAACCGACCTATTACCACTTTCATGTGCATATCGTACATGTCGCATTGGAGGCGGGCGCAACACAAGCAACCGGAAAGGCGATCGGATTGGAGAGTATAATCGAGCAGTTGGAAAACATGGAGGGCAACGAAGAAACAGGGATGGATAAAGTGTCTTTGAACTACACCGTTGGAGAAGCGAGTGAGTTATGGACGGATATATTCGAACCTATCAAGACTGGTGGTACAGCTTCTCTACGGCAAGAATAAGATCGTTCACTTCCGACCCTCCTGGGCAATCCGTCCACTTTCTGCCATCACGTACGCAAAATATCTCTTCGTTGAGTCTGACAGTGCAGGATTTTACGACACCAGCCTACAGTTGTTGGTTAGCATGGAAGCTTCTAAGGATGAACAGGCATTTTGTCTTCACACATACCTCAGTACTCCTTCTCACACTATCCCTTAACATCCCCATTCCATACCCCCCGTCGTCTTGCACAGTACACGCATTGAGTTTTTCGAAATCCATTCCATGCTCCAATGCGCAATCCTCCACTAGACTTCTATCTGGTATGTCCTTATAGTCTCTGGTTAAACACATCGTAAACCCAAGGTAGATTTTGGGGTCGGGATATAGCGTCGCAGAACATAATTCGAGAATATTGCCCATGCATTCTTGCGGGCCATGTTTACAGGCAACTCCATCATTGTCTGTAGGTCTGTGAAAGAACGGCCGTTAGATTCTTCAGGTGATTCTTAGGAGGGCCAGTACTTACGCGCCAATAAATGAAAGCGTGAAGTTTACTTTATCATATACTCTCTGCATAGCTGGCAATACCATCATTTTTAAACAGTCCTACAAGTAAATTAATTATGTCCCACAAATCTTATAGCAGCTCGACTAACCTGCGCATCGGGACCTGTATTAAGGAGTCAGTAACTGACTGCCAAAGAAATGCTCTAAAGCAATGCGAGGGAAATGAATTGTGAACCTCTTAAACTTACATTTAGACATGATATGCGCTTCCAACGGGATAGGTTTATGATCAGATACAGATACAACATCCTTTGCATGGTTCGCGCCGACAGGTTGCGGTTGCATGCCGCAACCCATGAATAATTGATGGATATTTGCAGTCCATAAGAGATATAACAGAGCAACCGTTAGAGCTCCAAAAGCTAGAGGTCTAGCTCTTCGTGCAGGTGGTCCGGTCAACATTCTTTCTGTTTTCTCGTTACCCATACTATGGTATTCGAAATTAGTATTGATCGTGGGTAGGGAGTCCTTCATGTTGATGGATCCATAAAGTACTGATAAGATAATGAAGTTTGAAGGTTAATAAGGGAGCGTCCGTTAGAGCATCATCCAGCTGAAGATTCGGTAGATCTGCGGCTAAATACAGAGTAATCATATCTGATCGGCTGATCTAAGCGGGTACTCATGAAAGGAGCTAGTATCCAATTGGTACATGCCTTGAATCTTCTCCTTTCTGCTTCATGTGCTCACCTATATTTTTGTACTGATATTCATACAGGCTTTCTTTTCAGATCTCATCTCTTTGCGTAGATGGATTCATTTGTGATATAATCCACCTATCATAACATTTTGAACCACTAACATTACAAAAAGTATTAGATCATTCACTGTACCTTACACGTGAATGAGGCTGTATATCTCATTCACTCTCCCTCCATATGCACTAGCGAGATAAAGCATACAATTCAACCCCATCTATCTGAACTTTTCCTTACAAACTGATTATGATCTGATAAATATCTTGAAGTCAGAAAATCACACAACATACAAACACGTTTCTCAAAACAAGCATTCTCACCCCTCAATCATCCATCTCACTCAGCTACAGTCAGCCAGCTCGCTTATCGAAATCATGACTTTAACTCCAACTGCTCTTGACCAGGTCCTTACACCTCTTGAAGTGGATATTAATAAGATTCATGCGTTAGCCAAGAGTCTTTGTGAGACGTTCAAGACGTTGGCGAAGGAATCTACAAATCAGTTTTTACCAACACCTATTTCTGAAGAGGTGTTGAGACCGGATCATGAGGGAAAGGGGAGATATCTAGCGATTGATATGTGAGTTCCTTTGCACAGACTGTAACATGATTTGCATCTGACCTACGATAGCGGAGGATCAAATCTGAGAGTGGGATTCATTGAGTTGCTTGGTCCTTCTAGTCAAGATGGTTTGGCATTGCCAGGCAAAATTAATAGGCTACTCGAGAAGTCATGGCAAATTGGTGAAGACTACAAGTACAACAATGCAGATGAACTATTCGTGTGGGTTGGAAAATGTATTGCGAAAGTTGTTCAGGATGGAGTTAACGAATGGGGCTTACAACTACCTTCTGAGTTGCCCATGGGTGTTACAATGAGTTTTCCAATGATGTTTGATGCCATATTTATCATTGTCAAGGAAACGCCCACTAACAAATGAATAGTCAAAATAAATTATCAGACGCAATTTTGATGTCTATGGGCAAGGGATTTGCGATGACTTCAAATCTCAACCTTGGCGAGCAGCTTCTCAAAGGCTACAAAATATCAACTACAACCTTGCCTCATCTTCCTCGCATCAAAATAACTGCCATAGTAAACGATGCCGTTGCAAGCCTAGTATCCTTCCACCGACAGCAACGTACACCGTATCAGAAGGTGGCTATGGGTCTAATTGTCGGCACCGGCTGCAATGCCACTATTCCCCTCTCCATCTCCAAACTTCATGTCACCAAATACCCATCTCACACCCTAAACACTATCGAGAGCAAACAGAAAGATACCAAAATCATAATCAACACCGAATGGTCCATTAATGGCACAGCTCCTCCTCTCCACACCCTAAATTTTATCACAAAATGGGACAAGATCCTCGACGCCAACAGCGAAACCCCAGGTTTCATGCCTTTCGAATACATGACCGGCGGCAAGTACCTCGGCGAACTAGGCCGTCTCATCATCCTCGACTACTTCACAACTCATCTCCAGCTACCATCCGAAACCCTACCTACAGTTCTCCGCAAGCGAAATGCTCTCGATGCAAGTATCCTAGCCAAAGTAGGAAGAGAAGATCAATTATGCAAACCACTCGATCTCGCTATGCCGTTCCCCGTAGATTACATGAGCGGGAAACCCAGGACCTGGACCCCGGAACTAGCAAATGTCGTTGTAAGCGTCGCAAAGAAAATCGAAAAGCGCGCAGCAGGTATGGTAGCCGCTGCCATCATCGGACTCCTCGCCGCAGCCGACGAACTTCCTTTCCCAGCACTTTCCAACGACACTCCAAAAACGAAAAATCCCGAGCAAACCAATCCCATCCACGCCTCGGAAACAATCACAGAACTGCTCGTAGGCTACACCGGCTCCTGTATCTCCCACTTCCAAGACTATCTCCCAGATTGCCAGATGTATCTCGATGATATCATGCGTCAGGAATTTGGTCCCGATAAAGGCGGAAAGAAAATCGTGCTCGAAGCGTGTACGTATGGAAGTATTATCGGAGCGGGTATCTTGGCCGGAACGGTGGAGTGGATGGAAGAAAGTCAACTTTTAGTCGAGGAATCGGCGGCTGAGTTGGCGGCTTGAGGTACGCACGCGTCGTAGGATTTTAGGGATCCAAGTAAGGATCTGAAGTTGGGATGAAGCTGCTGGCGGCATTTGCGTTGACCGATTGGATCGACTGGATCTGATTTTGATTTTGTTTGGGAATTAGAGTAGCGAGCATCAGTATGGGTGGGCATTTACATTTGCATTGGTACTGAGATAGAAAAGAGGTCCACAGATACGAGGACTAAACATGAGATATGAGATGAACGACCAGCATTTTATGATAGACGGACAGACGGATACATCAAATAGATAGACGACACCTTAAGCAATTCAAATCACTTACTTACTGAGACTTTTGCACAGATATGAAAGAACCAATCTCAAATGGGGATATCATAAATTGCATTTCTACCCGGCTTCAGACTCCGCTAAGCCTGAAAATAAATTATTCATGTCCACGCCATTTCCTTCATGGGAGAACATGTTTCCTCCATATATTACAAATTTCCCAATCCCGTTCTCATCGTCAATGGAAACCATTTACCCCATCCGTCAAATTCGTCAACTCCTCTTTTCTTTCTCTATATAATTCTTGAGCTTCTCTCTCACGCTTGGAAACAAAGCCCACTCTCTCCCTCAAATCTTCCAATCTCCTCGAGATGGCTACTTCTTCTGAGATCTGCAATGTCTTGAATGCATCTAAGGAATAAGTAGCTTTAGATAAAGCATCAGCTGCTTCGCCAATTTTTTGACGTAAAGTTTTGGCTCTTTGTTGGTAACCGCCTAAATGGAGGGCGAGTTTCTTTTCGGATTTGTTGCCCTTCTCAGCAGCAGCGACGATGGATTCTTGAACATTCTGGGTGATTGTTAGTGATTGAAGTGAAAAAATTGGTAGGAATTCAGGGCTTACGTCAAACGCATCTAGAAGCATCTGATGCTCATCAATCTCATCGTCAGAATCGTATCCACTTAATCCAGGTAATAATGATGATTTATGGGCTTCGTCCCATGCCGCTCTGAAAGCATCTGAACCTTGCTCTACCAAGTCCTTAGGAACTTCCATCAACAACTGTAATCGTGCTTGCGAAAGATCATCATCCTCAAACACTTCAATGGCCTTGGATGTGCCCCTGACTTTGGCTCCAGGTGTGGGGTACCTGAGAGCATCATTTGCAATCAATAAAGCTGCTTCTCTTTCAATAGAACCTTCAATTGTATCTTCGATGTTCTCCACAGTTTTCATTAATGCGTTGATATCGATGACTGATGGCCGAGGTAGCCCTCTTTGTAAAACTTGCGTTCGTCTTTTGAATTCTAATTGTTCTCGAGCTTCTCGAATTTGTCGATTCCTTCTGTCCCTGAGCTCTGCGTCTTCCTCGGATAATTCTTGAACACCAAAATTTTCTTGCTGCTCTTCCGGTAGTTCTAACTCCCACTCGGTATCTTTTGGCTTTGGTAAAGATGCAAGACCAGCTTTCAATGAATTTTTAAGGGTCATATCCCTTATTTTTAGATCTTGAGGGGTTCTCCCAACCAACTCCATCTCACCGTCTGCATTCAATGCAAAACTATCTCGAGGAGTTCGCATTGGTGTGGCACCTACACCATTTCTTGCGGGAGTTGCACCGATTCCGTTTGCACGAAAGGGGGTTGTCATAGGATTAGGTGTTTCCATTTGATGTCTCCGGGGAGTAACGCCATCGAACCCGGTGCTACCAGACCCTTCGTGCAATGGTGTATTTTCTCCACCCAGAAGTGATGATTGTGTCTCGGTTAGAGCTCTGATATTTCGTATTTCGTTAGCAATATGGTCCTCCTGTGCCGGAGCTCGCGGTGTTCGAATTGGTGCTCCACTGTTGATGGTCGAATATGTATTCACAAGCCCTCTTGTTGCATCGTTCTCGCTCGACCTTGCCATTATGTTCGCCCTCTCCCCTATCATACCCATCTTTACAATTTCCTCGAGTTCCCCCTCACCAACCTGGGGTGCTGGTAAGACCAACGCCCGTCTCTTACTACTCTGTTCTGCTTCTCGAATCTTTTGCATCTGCCCAGCTTTCATGGCCGCTTGGTAGGATGCTGATGGAGCATTTTTGTCATTCTTTTGTCGTTTTGGATCCTGATTGTCATCTTGGTCTCCTTTGCGCTTAATCGCAAGTTGCTGTTTTCGTGGATCGAAAGCTGCTCTTTGCTTCTCGTTTTGTAAAGACTCATCGCCAGTATCGTAAAATCCAGGAGCGGGGGCTTTTTCGAAAGGAATGTCGGCATTATAGTCCATCATCCCCTTCTTTCGATTGACCACTTTGATATTAATGCCAGCATTTTTAAGCTCTCTGCGCTTCTGCAAAACGGCCAACCTCCTCGTCTCTTCCAATTGACGTTCGCGAGCCTTCCTCTTAGCTTTCTTACCCTGTGTATTTGCTAGACGGGCGCGAGCTTCACTCAACATTTCTTTTTCATCCTCATCTAAATCGACGGTATCTGGCCTCGCAGGTTTCGATTCTGGATCTGGATCGACTTCCCCAGGTCGCAACCTGCGTACATCATCCGCAGATGGTGCTTTGTTTTCTCCGCCATCAGGTCCACCAAGCCCGAACTCTCCAGCCTCTTTCTGTTCCGCTTCATCGAGTAATTTCTGATACCTTTCGAGGCATTGGGTCGCTGTTCGTCCGACAATAGGAGCAATAGTTCGCCATTGTGTTGGCATCAACTTCGCCAAGTGTAACAATTTTTCATCCTCTTCCTTGCTCCATTCTATTTTTCGAATACCCGGATCTAACCATTCGCTCCATCTTGCTTTACATTGCTTCGGTGTTTTTCTTGCTAGAAGTGAGGAAACTCGAGCCCATTGATTCAATCCATATTTCGAAACACTTGCTTTTAGAATTTCATCTTCGATATTAGTCCAAACTCCACCTTTGACGACTGGCATTTTTGCGTATGAAGCTATTGATTTTGTCTTGCCTGGTCTCTGCTTTATGTTGATGCGCCTGGAAGCTTGAGTCGCGAGAAATAATTCTTGGGACCTTTCCAATCACTAGCGCGAGATATCTACGGCTCTCACGTGATTGATCTTCGACGTCAGTCCTTTAGCCTCATCGACTCAAATGGTGCGCGTTTTACAAGTGACTTACGAATGAAAAGTATAATTCTGATCAATGCCCTCATCTTTTATGAGCAAGGAGATGATATTTATTTTCCACAGGAAGTCATGCATTTTCACTCGATACGGTGAATCTCAAGAGCTAACGCCGATGATGACTACTAGGAAATCAGCCATTGAATTCCAGCTTAGGAACTTCCCCAGAAAAGTTCAGACAGAAGCGTTTCACATTTCACATTTCACATTCCAGTAAGCACAAGTATCATGTCATAATGCATTGCCAAGTCAAAAAGGCTGAAGCTTGTATTGTAAAAGGAGCGTAAGTTTAATTCCATTGCAAATCTCATGATCAATCTTTCCTTGTCCGTTTGTCTGCAAAACGAGTGTAGCAAAGAGCTGAAGTTCAAGCACGACACAATTTTTTTTAATGAAAAATCCACCTATTCCAAATCTCCCCAAATCCTATGCCGGCGTTGGAGAGCAAACGAAAGTCGTAGTGGTAGTTGGCACATCTGCCTTTACGGTTGTCGTAAAGTTCACAGCAGGGCCAACACCTCCGATAGGCTGTACACTCAAAGCGCCACAGCCTGCACAATCTACGCTGCTAGTAGCTGTGACCGTAGATGGAAAGATAGTTCTTGTAGGCCCATGGGTAAATTGTTTCAATTGGCTTAGTGTAGACGTGCATGGAATGATTGGACCTCCCTGTCTCTTGGTTGGGGGCAATTGAGGACCGCCTGGATTGTAGGATAGCGGTATTGCACCTTCAGTGACAGTCACCGTTGTCAAATCTGTTGCACAACCTGTTGGGCATTCCGCACATGCGCCTGGAGCCGTTACTGTTGGAGTTGCCACACAACATTCTGTAAGGATCATCAGCATTGCCTATCAATAAAGGATGGGATGGTAATGCGGAAGGAATAGGTGTGGCTTTAGGGGAAAGCAAAGAATCGTATAGAAAGGAATACAAAAGTGTAGCCTGGGACTAGGTAACACAATCGAGGAATGAGAAATATTTATTGAACCAGTTGAGCTTACTGTCACTGGGCGGAACTGTAATTGTGGTTGTTGATAAAAGAATACACAATGGCACGGGACCACATGTAGCAGGGTTGAAGGTCTTTGTTCCTGAGCAAGCTATTTTAATATTGGTTAGCTGATGTTACTTAAAGGGAAGAAGAATGGCGTACGGAAAGAGTTCTGAATGGTGGTAATCGAGCGAGTATAGCAAGAATGTGGAACGGTCTTGACCGTCGAGATAGTACTAATGTACGTGGTAGTTATCAAGCTTGGAGCACATGTTTCGGAACGATGGCGAAGGACTTCAGGGATACAGTAGACGTTTTGTCTGAAATCAATGTGAGTATTTGTGTATGTCAGAGTGCGTGAAAGAGCTCAAAGAGTACTTACACTGCAGTAAACAAAAGGATACTGATAGTGTAAAGATGATACATGATAAAAGCCTTGTTTGGGAATGTCTATTGCGTAGAAGATATCTGAGAGTTATTGTCTTGATCGATTTGAAAAATCCATATTGTGGAGGAGACAAGCCGTATATATATCATCAGCCATCTGTTGACCCTCGTTCCTTCCACGAATCATCCCTCGCTATGTCGCGGAATGGATCATCACATTCATAAACTCAACGGGGAAACTAATTTATGCATAAGGTTGAGCAATTTATAATGATATAAAGTATAATAATAATCAAATTAATTATATCCCCTAAGATAAAGTAAGGATTTTGAAGAGATTTTAAAGAAATTTTGAATCAAAATCTTAAGTTGAATTAAATTAAAGGAAGTAAAATTTTATTCAATTATCTTTAATATGAAAAGCATTAATAATAATAATCTCATTAATTTCATTCATTATATTATTATCAATCACAATCTCGTTCTTTAAATTGAATTCTAGATTGCTTTTCAGATTA